GGCCGAACCCCAGCCCCTCCCGTCCGCGCCGCACCGGGGGTCCAGGCAACCCCCAAACACGGCCTCCGCCCTCCGGCCCCTCCAAACACGGGTCCCTCACTCTCTGCACCCGGAGGACCAACGGCTCCAGCGCCGTCCCTCCAGGGGCCTCAGTAGTCCGACCCCAGGCCCCACCTCTCGAGCGCTGAGCGCGCGCCCGCGCCCCCATACCTCGAGGGTTCCGGTGCGCGGGATTGCGGGCCCCCAGTGGACCGGACCTCCGGCGCTTGCGCCCTCGCTGTTTCCCCGCGGGAGCGCGCGCGGGTCCCCGAATTCTCTGGGTCGGGGGCCCACGCGGTTTTTAACACTGGGGTTCTGGCACCCACCCAGTCCTGGGCAGGGCCCGCCACAGGCCTGGAGTCCGCCGCGTCGGCGTCGCGCTCCACACAACCCGTCTCCGCGTGGGCGGGGCTGAGGCGGGCATCCGGAGCCCAGGGCTGGGGTCACGGTCTGCAGAGTCCGCGGGGACTGTGTGCCACTGTGTGCCGCACTCCGGAAGGAGGGACACTGGGGAGGCTGGATTCTGCGTCCTGTCAGGGGGGTGCTGGGGCTTGACTGCTGCCCTGCCGGCGGGGTGGCGTTACGGGGCACTGGGGGGTTGGGGGGCGAGTATTACAGGCCCTGGACGGAGGGACTGGGTCCGGACTACGAACCCGGGAGGGAGTGGTTCTGCAGGTCAGGGTAATACAGGGTATGTCAAGGTGCTCCCTCTTCCCCACGTCTTCGTCGTTTGTCGAAGGTGAGGCTTCGCGCGTCCGCATCGCATTTTTGGACGATGCGGTGGGCTGCCGGCTTGTGAGGCAGAGGGGGCGAGGGCCAGGCAATTCCGGCCCCGTGCGCTAACTGATCGTGTGCGATGGGAGCTGCTCTCAGGTTCCACGGCGGGTTGACCAGCCCCCGCGCCAGTGACGCGTGCTGACAATCGCTCCCTGGTGTTTCGGGCCGTGCTTCTCTGGGTCTGGCTTCTTGACTCGCTCCTCCTCGGATTTCCTGGCGGTCCCATTCGGGTGGGGGAGGTGGGCGGGGTCCCGTGCTGTAGATACTTCCTTGGTGATGTCATCCAGGCTGCGTGGCTCTTACCGCCCCGAGGGGCCGGGGACACCTGGCCTCTCTTCGGAAGTACCCATGTGCCCAGCGCACCGCCCCGAGGGGCCGGGGACACCTGGCCTCTCTGGTCTCCACCCCCTCCCGTTCCCCACGTGCAAGGGAATCTGGGCTCTGCCTCCCTCTCGGGGACTCCCTCGTCTCCCTGTGACCCCAGCTCAGCCGTGGGATCCAGAACCCGCCTGAGCTGCCTCGTCCCGGCCGCTCTGCAGGGTCCTGCTCCGCATGTGGGCCCCTGTCCCTGCCGCTCCTGGCGGGCCTGGTGGCCGCTGACGCGGTGGTGTCTCTGCTCATCGTGGGGGCGGTGTTCCTGTGTGCTCGCCTCGGCCACAGGCCCACCCAAGGTGAGGGCAGGGAGGAGGTGGGGCCTGGACGGTGGGGGTGTCCCTAGGGAGGCGGTCCCACGGAGGGGACCCGGGGGAAGCCCTGGAGGAGGCGCTGGGGAAACCCTGGGGGAGGTGCCCCGGGGAACCCCTGAGGAAACCCCTGAGGCAGGGGGTCCCCAGGGAGGCAGTGGGTGGCCAGGCTTCATGCTTCCTCTCCCCACCCCCAGAAGATGGCAGAGTCTACATCAACATGCCTGGCCGGGGCTGACCCCCCGTAACTTCGACCTTTGACCTCTGACCCCCTCACGCTAGATGGTGTGTGTTGGCCCAGGAACACCCTCCTCCCTTTGGGGCTGGAATAAAACAATTGAAGTACCTGCAGTTGTATTCTTCCTCAGAGAACTCCAGGGTTCCCAAAGGCTCCCTCCCGTGTAGCCATTCGGAGTCCAAGACCCCCTCAGGACCCCACACCCCACATCCTCTCAGCCCGGGGATCTGGCATAACTCAACAATGTTTTTGTGCTCCATGTTTATTTGGGGGCAGCAGCGGGGAGAGGCGTGGACATCTCAGGGAGGGCACTCTGCGGGTCTGTATCTCGCTAGGCGTAGGCATGAGGTGCTGGGTGGGCATCAGGAATGGCTGGATCCAGGCATCAGGTTGTTGACCGGCGTGGTTTGGGCTCATTTGTAATACTGCCTCTGTGTGTTGAGGTCGCTGTAGACGTCCGCCCTCTGGCCCTGGAGCTCCTAAAGGAATGGAGCCATCATCAGTGGAAGGGGTCCACCAAATAAAAACCAAACCCATCCTTCTTCCAGCGGCCTGCAAGGCCCCCGGGCAGCTTCTTCAACCTCATGGCCACAGAAGAGAGCTGGATTTATTCAAAAGCATCCTGTGTTCCCCTTGTCCCTCTGCCTCATCGTTATGCCCCGGCCTCAGAACCTTGGCACGCACGGTGCCCTCTGCCTGGAACGCCAGGCCCTCGCTCTTAGGTCTCCTCCGCCTTCAAGTCTCAGCTGACGTCACCTCGACAGAGAGGCCCTTCTCAAAGTCGCCCCCCTGGACGCCCCAGTCACTGCCACAACACAGCCCACTTTAGTTCCTCCGCCGAGCCTCCCGAAATGATCCCACTGGTTCATCTGCTTCAGGTCTTCCCAACTAGGGTGTAAGCTCTGCTGCAGCATCTAGCCCGCATGCGTGCTCCGCGCTTGCCCTGAATGGGGCGAATAAATTGGGGCTTGGCCCTAAACTGTCACTGCCCCCAGATAACTGGGAAGCCCCCTCGGTCTTCTGGACCTCACAGAACCGAACTCAAGATTCTTATACAAATGACTGGTCCGGGGGTGCATTTTTCTGGGGAGGGTCTCCGAGGATCTCGTGACCCCCTAAAGGGTTAAGAAGGAGCACTGACAGAGACGACTGCCACCCCGTCTGCACCATGGTTTGTAGGAAGGGCTTCAAGGACACTTGCACCCACCAGCCTTAGATTATTTGCACAACTGTGTATTTTTTTTTTTTTTTTTTGCGTGGATGTTTCCGAGGGGCCTCTAGCTTTCGTCAGCCTCCCAGAGGAATGCAGGAGCTGACAGCTTCTCCCAGAAATCATGAGCCTGTCCTAGGGCCGGGATTTTTCCAGAACATTCCAGGGCCTGCCTTCTGGCGAGGCCTGCGCTTGCCCGCACAGAGGCAAGGCCACCGCTTAGTTTCCTCTGAGCACGTTTCGCGCGGAGCATGAGGCTGTGGTTGGTAATTGACCTCGGTTTGGGACGGATACCCCGTTTGCCTTCGGGGTTTCGGGGGAGCTGCTGGGAAAGTGGCTTTAGGGTCCCCAGGAGGGGATGGGGGGTGTTCGGGACAGACACCAGCGGGCAGGTGTGAGAGATGGGAAAGGGAGGCTGGTTTTCTCACCTGATAAGGCGACTCAGTCTCGGTCATACGCTGTTTCCGGGTCACTGCTGGCGTGGGGAGGGTGGCGCAGGGCGCAAAGACAGACGGGGCCGTGATGGGGACCATTTTGTTGTTTCAAAATCAGCCCCTCCATGACCGCCCTTTTGTGGCCCCTCCATGACCGCCCCTTTGTGGCTCCTCCATGACCGCCCCTTTGTGGCTCCTCCATGACTGCCCCTTTGGGTGTTTGTGGCGCGCGGAGCTCACCCCCACCCCCACCGGGCAAGTCGTCGCGGGTCCCAGGCTGGCCCCTGCCGGCCCCACTCACCCTCCACGGCCCCGCGGCCCCGGCCCCGCGGCACCAGGCGGCCCAGCGAGTACACGGCCAGCGCGATGAGCAGCGTGAGCACCAGGTCCCCCAGCACGATGCCCGCCAGCACGCCGGGGCTCACCGACGCGCAGTTGCATTCTGGGAACATGGCGCAGGGGTCAGGGAGGCCAGCGTGGGGGGGGGATGGCAGGGGTGGGGTGTCAACAGGGGGAGGGTTGGAAAGACTGGGGGAGGGTCGGGGGTAGGGAGGTCTTTGGGAGGCAGGGAGGGGGGTTGCAGGGACGAGGCCTACCGCTCTGGGCCTGGACGGGACTGAGACCTGAGGAGGGAAAAAGAAGGTAGACTGAGGCACGGAGCTATGACGGGGTGGGGGGGGAGGGTCGAAGGTGGGGGGTGGGTCCTGACAGCCAGGAGGCAAGGGCGGACAGCGGCATCTGGCAGGACCTGGTGGGCTGGTGTCTAGGCCATTGGACTGTGCTACTTCTACAGCGACTTGGCCTGTTGTGACACCCTTAAGTGTCCCCTCCCCCTGCTTCCACCGGAGGCTACTTCCTGGGGGCCCAGGCCCTGGGAGGGATCCACATGCTGTGAGGGGCTGGGGACCTGCTCGCGTCCCAACCCTCCCCTTGGTTCTCTTCTTCCACCCAGCCCCCTGCCGTGCCCCCAGCTGGGCCCAGGGACTCAGCAGGGGCAGCTGCAAAGCCCCCGACTCACCGCCCACAGTCAGAAGCAGGGGCAGGAGCAGCAGCCTGCCGGAGGGTTCCAGGCCCCCCATGACGCCGGGACACCAGTGGACACCACAGTCCGAGGGCCAGTGGTCTGTGGCGTAGCGCCCAACTAAGTGAAGGAGGAAGTCTGGGGTGGGTGGTGGCAGGAGGGAGGAGGAGACAATAGGGGAGGAGGGACAGAGAAAGACAACACCAGAAAGAACAGGTTTAGACACCCCCGGGGCCATGCCACCAGCCCTAACGGCTGGACGTGAAGTGCCAAGGGTTGACAGTCACGTGACACTTGACTTTCATCCCCGATCGGGGCTCAGACATCATTGTAGCAGGAGGGTCGGTGGCTCGGTCCTCCTCTGGTTGATTGAGGCCAGCTCTGCTTCCTCCTGGCTGGGCAACCTTGAGCAAGTCGCTCGACCTCTCTGGGCCTCAGTTTCTTCATCTGTAAAATTGGGAGCACAATAGTACCTACTCTGTAGGGTCGTTACGGGACTTAAATGAATGCATATGCCTAGAACAGGGTCTGACACTTGTCAGCTTTTTTATAAGCATCGGCTACAATCAGTATTATAGGATAATCGGAAGCTCGTGACGGTCATGGGATGTTAGGAGCTATCGGCGTGTGGGCTCTGACGGCAGCAGGCTCTCTGCCGAGCGTTAAATCGGTTCAACCCACCACACCCTCTTACATCCCCAGTGTACAGAGAGGTGAAGACATTTGCCCAAGGTCACCCAGCAAATAAAAGTAGAAATGGAACCCAGGGCCTAAAGACAGATTTTTGACTCTTACAGAGAAGGAAAAAAGAAAAAAGATGAAAGATGTGGAAGGGGGAAAGGGTGGCAAAGCCGAGGAGGAGGGTGAGGGTTAGAGAGCGGCACAGGGCATGGGACAGGACTGGTGGCTGGGGCGGGACAGGTGGCTGGGCTGCTGAATGAGGAAGTGGCTGGAAGCAAGGATGGAGGGAGGCCACCCGGGTGGGAGGAGACAAGGACTTCCAGCCCCCAGCGGAAGGCTAAGTTGAAACTGGGGAAGGAGGAACCTGAGGTCAGGGCGCCGGGGTTGCGCCAGCGGCAGAAAGTCCCCCAGCCCCATCGCACCCATGGCCCCCGGGCCTGGGCTCAGGCGGGAAAGGTCGGTCAAAGTGCCAACTCCAAGCGGCTGGTGGGGGAGGGGAGGGGAGGGCATTTGGAGTCTGGAGGAGGGTCCAGGCCCAGCTGGGGGACACTGGCTGCTAACGGCCGCCATTGCCACTGGCCTGGTCGAGTCCTGTCCCTGAAGAACCCAGACCTTTCCCGTTATTAGGTCCAGAGCCAGCAGGGAGGGGACAGTCCCCTGTGGTAGGCCGTCCTGGGCACACCAGGCCTCCCAAGGTGCTGAAGCAGGGCGAGCGAGGGGCAGCCAGGGACCTGGGCAGGGCTGGGAGCCGGGAGGGCCTTGATGTCACTCAGGTGCCCACAGGTGCCCTCCTGCCCTCAGCTCCAGCCAGGCCAGTGCTGTCCCCAAAGGTACTCAGTCTGACAGCGGGGACACCCAGGCACTGTCCCACCAGATGCAGCCCTAGCACAGGGCAGGGTCCTAGGCTCCCCCGCTTTAGTGGCTGAGCTGTGGGGAAGCCCAAGGGGTCCCAAGAGAATGGACTGGGCTGGTGGCGGGCATTTGAGGGCCCTGTGGGTTCCTTACTAACCAGAAGTGAAGGCTGGGCGAGGTGGCTCACCCCTGTAATCCTAGCACTCTGGGAGGCCAAAGTGGGAGGATCGTTTGAGGTCAGGAGTTCGAAACCAGCCTGAGCAAGAGCGAGATCCCCATCTCTACTATAAATAGAAAGAAATTAATTGGCCAACTAATATATATACAAAAAATTAGCCGGGCACGGTGGCGCATGCCTGTAGTCCCAGCTACTCAGGAGGCTGAGGCAGGAGGATCACTTGAGCCCAGGAGTTTGAGGTTGCTGTGAGCTAGGCTGATGCCACGGCACTCACTCTAGCCTGGGCAGCAACAGAAGTGAGACTCTGTGTCAAAAAAAACAAAAAACAAAAAAAAACCCCAAAAACCAGAAGTGAAGTATTTCAGTATTCTAGAAATGTCACAACTGTGCCAGGGCAGGCCCAAGACTGCAGGCCCAGGCTGGTCTCCGGGACAGATTGGAGGCTGATGCCTCCACTTGGGGCGAAGGAAGAGGCTGAGATGGAGGCGCCCAGCTGACGGGCGGTGCCCCGTGATGGTGCCCGACTCCAGGAAGTGGGACCGAGGGCCTCGGCGCCACAGGCCCTGCGAAGTGTCTCAATGTCTCCTGGCAGCAGGCCAAGAGCTGGGGAAGGCCGAAGCTGACTTCCCCAGAAATCAGGCAGCGTGTGGGGCCTGCAACGACCGGCTGGTCTCTGTGCAAGCCACAGCCCTCCCCGCCCGCCTGGCTTCCACTGTGCCCCCTAAGCTCACCCTCCCCGCAGCAGCCAGAAGCAGCTTTTGGAAAAAAAAAAAAAAAAAAAAATCGGACAAATAACCTCATGTTGTAAAATGGCCAAAAGATCTGAACGGGCACTTCGCAAACGAAGAGACGTGAATGGCCACGAGGCGTGGGGAAAAGTGCTCGACCTCATTAGTCATTAGGGAAATACGAATCAAAACCGCAGTGAGAGACTAGCACACGCCCACTGGAATGACTAACATTAAAGAGATTGGCCCTATCGAGTGTCAGCGGAAACGTGGAGCAGTTGGAAATCTCAGCCGCTGCTGGCGGAAACATGAAATAGAAGCAGCACTTGGGAAAACAGTTCGGTAGTTTCTTGTAAAGTTTGACATTCACCTACCGAGCCATCCAGAATCCCACTACTGGTTGTCTACCCAGGAGAAATGAAACGTATGTTCACAGAGATGTGTGAGGCCCGCAAGATCTCCCCCTGCCACCTCCCAGTCCCCTCTGTCCCTCCCTGCACTCCTCACTGGTCCCCTTGCTGTTTCTTTTTTTACTTCTTTAGTGTTTTTGTGTGTGTGTGTTTTTTTTCAAGGAAAGCCCAGACCCTTGCTGTTTCTTGAATAAGTCGCACTCATTCTCACCTCAGGGCCTTAACTGGCCCCTTCTCACCCTCCAGGTCTCAGCTGAAATGTCACGCCCTCCCAGAGGCGGCCTCCCCTGACCGCCACCGCCAAAGTCACCCTCACCGCCCCAGGCCACTGGTTTCATTTTCTTCCTAGTATTTGTCATATCTGAAATTCTCTGACTTGTGTGTTCTCGTTATTACTATCTGCCCATTTCCTTGAGAATGGGAACTCCATGAGCACAGGGACCTTTCTGTCTCGCTCACTGTTGTAGCCCCAGCACACATAGTAGGTGCTCAATAAACATCCTTTGAATATTGGACTAAATGACCACCAGTGGTAACAGGTTCGATTAAACTGAGCTCCTCCCTCTGAAGAGGCTTAAAGGTACCCCAGACATGTACGCTACATCTTCTTGAAGGAATTGCTTTGTAGATAAGAACCCTAGCGTCCCAAATACTGTCTGATTCCCCTTACATGAGGTACATAGAGCAGTCAGATTCAGAGGCAGAAAGTACCATGGCTGCCAGGCTAGAGGGGAGGAGGGGACAGGGAGGTAGCATTAAACGGGTACAGAGTTTCAGTTTTACAGGTGAAGAGTTACGGAGATGAGTGGTGGTGATGGTTGCATAACATAACGACAGGATTTAATACCACTGAACTGTACACTTAAAAATAGTTAAGATGCGGCCAGGCGAGGTAGCTCACACCTGTAATCCTAGCACTCTGGGAGGCCGAGGCGGGAGGATCGCTCAACGTCAGGAGTTCGAAACCAGCCTGAGCAAGAGTGAAACCCCATTTCTACTAAAAATAGAAAGGAATTAATTGGACAACTACAAATATATAGAAAAAATTAGCCGAGCATGGTGGCGCATGCCTGTAGTCCCAGCTACTCAGGAGGCTGAGGCAGAGGGATTGCTTGAGCCCAGGAGTTTGAGGTTGCTGTGAGCGAGGCTGATGCCACGGCACTCTAGCATGGGCAACACAGTGAGACTCTGTCTCAAAAAAAAAAAAAAAAGGTTAAGATGGTAAATTTTATGTTATGTGTATTTTACCGTAATAAAAACAAACAAACAAAAAAAGATTGCTAGCCATCCCCCCATCCTCTTGTCCCTTCTTCCATGGAATTTTTAGCAGGGCATATGGCCACAACTAAAGACCAGCTTCGTTTGCAGTCGGGTGGTATGGTGTTATGACACGTATTAATATATCGGTTTTTGTCCCTGGTTCCTGGCTCCCACAGCCCTTATTACGGCCTTTTGTGATAATGTTGGGCAGGTTAGGAGGCCTCAGGAACCAGAGTGTCTCTGACCTTCCCCTTCCCCTGTCCTCTCTCCTCTGCCCAAGACAGAACCATAATTCTGCTCCCCACTCTCCCCACCTTTCCGATTGTGGGTCCTAAGACCTTCGTTCTAGCCAGGGTCCCACGCCATATCCTGGAAGCTAATCACAGTTGACACAGTTGTCCATAAAAACGCCAGACGATGGGTTTGGAGAGCTTCCAGGTAGCTGAACATGTGCAGCTTCCCGGCAGGGGGTGCACCAGGTGAGGACGTGGAAGCTCCGCCCCCTTCCCACACACCTGGCCCTGTGCATCCCTTCGTCTGTAGCCTTTGTGATATCCTTTGTGATAGACCAGTAGACATTTAAGTAAATGTTTCCCTGAGTTCTGGAAGCCACTCCGGCAAATTAACTGAACCCAAAGTGGGGGTCCTGGGAACCCCAGTTGGAAGCCAGCCCCGGTCAGAAGCTCTGGAGGCCCAGACTTGCGACTGGTGTCTGAAGGTGGGGACAGCTTGGGGACTGAGCCCTCAACCTGTGGGATCTGATGGTGTCGGGGGCAGAATGCTTTGCCCGCTTGGAGGTGGGGAGAGACCCACCCCCCACACACACTCGGCCACAGAAGTCTTCTTCTGTGTTGGTGATTGTGGTGTGAGAGTGGAGGAAAGACACGCTTTGAAGTTTTCCCACAACAGGCAGCCACGTGGCTTCATCCCGGCCCACGGGCGGTGTGGGAGCTGAGTGGGCGGATGTTGAGGTCCCAGCCCCGGGGGCCGGGTGTCCGGGACTCAACTCCCCTTCTTTGATTTCCCCACTCGCTGGAATTTGAACGTGCAAGGGGTCACCTTTGAACAAGCGGGTGGGGACAACCCCGTGAGGATGAAAGAGCAGCAAGACGGGAGGAGTTCCAGGCCAAAGCGGCTACATGAGAGAGAAACTGCTGCCTGCCTTAAGCCACTTGTGGTAAGTAATCTCCAAAGAAGGTCACCAGGAATTCGTCCCCACCGATGTACATGCCATCCCTCTCATCAAGAGGTAGGGAACCTATTTTCCCTGCCCTTGAACCTGAGGTGGCCCCGTGACTTGCTTTGACCAAGAGTGCACTGGGGCCGGGCGCGGTGGCTCACGCCTGTAATCCCAGCGCTCTGGGAGGCCGAGGCCGGCGGATTGCTCAAGGTCAGGAGTTCGAAACCAGCCTGAGCAAGAGCGAGACTGTCTCTACTAAAAATAGAAAGAAATTAATTGGACAATTAAAGATATATAGACAAAATTAGCCGGGCATGGTGGCACATGCCTGTAGTCCCAGCTACTTGGGAGGCTGAAGCAGGAGGATCGCTTGAACCCCAGGAGTTTGAGGTTGCTGTGAGCTAGGCTGATGCCACGGCACTCACTCTAGCCTGGGCAGCAAAGTGAGACTCTGTCTCAAAAAAAGTAAATAAATAAATACCCCAGCTCCTTCACCCCTTGAATGCATAACACTAGGGTGGATAGTCTACACTGTATCCCAGAAATCTGCAGCAAGATTAAGCTCCAATTGCCCTAGACGACACACCTTTCATTGATTGACCCGCCCTCCTCTATCTTTCTTCCCCACTCCCCACCGGGTCCTCTCTGAACCTCCCAAATCCTCCTCGCAGTGTTTGGTTCCCAGGAGAACCGACACGAAGGCAAAGGAAGTGGACTTCCCAGAAGGAAGGAATGGTCCTGGGTAGGATAGATGCCCATGAGGTGTCAGGACGTGTCCCAGTCCCCACCCCCTTCTCAAAGAACCTGCTGCTGCCACCACAGTTTGAAAGCAGGAACTACGTGTGCCCAAGCCCTGCTGGGGCTGAGTGAGCCAGGCTTTACCCCTGACCCAGATGTCAGGGTTCTTAGTGGCATATGATAGAAGCCACTGTAACCAGTTTAAAAAGAAAAATGGATGTGTTCAAGGATATTAGGGACCCCCACCTAATCTCTAGGAGGGCCAGGAAATCAGTCCCGGGGCCACTGAGATCCTACTGCTGCCACGGGGAACGAACCACAGAACCACTGCCAATGCCACCCAGGATTTTCTGCCAAGGTGACCATCATTTGCATTAGACACTTGGGGAAAGTTTGGCCGTTTCTCAGAAAATTAATCATAGACTTATCATATGACCCAACAATCCCAATCCCAGGTATTTACCCAAGAGAAGTGAAAATTAGATTTCACACAAAAAAATTACAGTTCACACAAAAACCAGTACAATATGTGAATAGTGGCTTGATTTATAATTGCCCCAAACTGGAAACAACCTGAATGGTTTTCAATGGATGAATGGGTGAACGAACTGTGGTACATCCATGCAATGGAATACAACTCAGCTATAAAAAGGCATGAACTATTGACACATACAACAACAGCAATAAAAAAATGGATGAACTATAAACATATAACAACGCAGACCAATCTGGAATACAGCACACTAAGTGAAAGACACTACACTCAAAATGCTACATACATACTGTATGATTTCATTTATATATATATTTTTTCTATATATTTTTAGTTGGCCAATTAATTTCTTTCTATTGTTAGTAGAGACGGGGTCTCGCTCTTGCTCAGGCTGGTCTCGAACTCCTGACCTTGAGCAATCCTCCCACCTCGGCCTCCCAGATTGCTAGGATTACAGGCGTGAACCATCGTGCCCGGCCCCTGATTTCATTTATATTAATATGACATTCTAGAAAAGGCAACGCTCTAAGGACAGAAATCACATCAGTGGTTGCCAGGGACTGGAGGTGGAAGAAGTGGTTGACTAAAAAGGGAAACGAGAGAACTTTTTAGGGTGATAGAATTCTTCTGTATTTTTATTGTGGTGGTGATTACATGGCTTGTGCATTTGTCAAAACTCATAAAACTGTACATTAAAGAGGATGAATGTTTTTTTGAGACAGAGTCTCACTCTGTTGCCGGGGCTAGAGTGCCGTGGCGTCAGCCTAACTCACAGCAACCTCAAACTCCTGGGCTCAAGCGATCCTCCTGCCTCAGCCTCCCAAGTAGATGAGACTACAGGCATGTGCCACCATGCTTGGCTAATTTTTTTCTATATATTTTTAGTTGTCCAGCTAATTTGTTTCTATTTTTTTAGTAGAGACGGGGTCTTGCTCTTGCTCAGGCCGGTATCGAACAACCCTCCCACCTCGGCCTCCCAGAGTGCTAGGATTACAGGCGTGAGCCACCGCGCCCGGCCAGGGTGAATTTTACTCTATGTAAATTACACCTGAATTTTTAAAATGTTTTTAATGATTGGACATTGTAAGTGCCAAAGAAACTGGTAAAGAGGTTTCACACTCTCTTTCCTTCCTATCAATTGCAATGCTGATGAGTAAGCAGATGTTTCCCACCCTAGCTGGGCGGCAGAAAGTACTAGAAAGTGTTGGCTTGCTAGCAGGTGAGTGAGGCAGAACTCCAGTGGCCCACCACTATTCTTTGCTCCCCGTCTTTTATTGGAACAGAATTTGTAATTGGATGTGTGGTTTCCTAGCCAAGACTGTGTTTCTCAGCCTCTTTGGAGCCAGGTGAGGCCATGGAACTGTTTTCTGGCCAATGCAATGTGGGGAAAACAATGTGAGAAACTTCCAGGTTGTGTCCCTAAAGTCAAAGAGTGTGCCTTCCCTTTGCCCATCCTCCCTCTCGGCTGGAATGTGGCCATGGCACTGGCAGTGGGCAGGCATCTTAGACCACAACAGCTGCTTTTTATTTGTAAAATGAAGGCTTTCTAAATATAATTTGAGGAATGATTGATGGCTTCATCCACTGGGGTTCATCCATGTCATTGATGCAGTCATTACGAATAAATTAGAATTCTACAAGCTGATGTGAAGGAATTTTAACTGAGAAAAGCCAGATGCAGAGAAGGGAATATGGTACAATTCAAAACAATGAGCAAAAAGATCCATTTATAAATATGTGTATATATATATATATATATATATATATATTTGGATAGCAAATATATGTTTGCATGTTAATATTTGTTTACATGTTTACATGTTATATATGTTTACATGTTAATATTTGAGTGATGGTGCAGAAAGCCATGGGAGGGTATGCCTTAGGCTGCTAACTGCCAATACTGGTGACCTGGGTCAGGGGAGGAGATGGGGACAGGCAAGAGCAGGAAATACTGCCCAAAATCCAGAATAAAACAAGAGAAAAACCCAAACCCAAATGCCCTCACTTTGTATTTTCCAATCCAGGAGAAATTTGGCACTAAGTGGGACAAAAATAAAGACCCAGGCCCACGCGTACTGGACAGTCTGAAGATCAGTCTGCATTGTGAGATGGGATCTGAAACCTTCACCCTCAAGGTAAAAGTGAAGCAGAAGTCATGGAGGCCTCACTTGAACTTACAGCTTACCTTTGTATCCCCTGAGTGAGTTAGATGAACCCAGGTCTTGTCCTGGATTCATGGCGTCCCCAGGTGACTGACAGAGGCAAGCAAATGTCCCCTCTGGAGTAATATATCACCATAATAGGCCTTGAGGTTCTTCCTGCAAATCTAAGACATCAGGAATGACAACTATAAGAACCAACAGATTTGAGAACATAGCCACAAACTCTTAGGTACCGGAATTGTCAGATACAAACTATTACTATTTTACAGCTACATGTGCAAGAAAACAAAATACAAGTTTGAAAATCTTATCGGGAAACTGGTAACTATAAAAACTGAAAGAGCATATTGGAACACAACACAAAAAGCAATTCTAGAACTAGAAACACAATCACTGAAATTAAAAACTCAGTGGATTCCTTCACTGCCTTTTTTTTTTCCTCTCTCTTAAATTTTATTTTATATACAAAGAGCTACTAGCATGGTCTCTTTCACTTTGTGGGTGCCGTGGAAAATCCATTCAAAGAAGATCACTTAGTCCAACTTAATGAAACCGATGTCCTTCGTGCACTGACAGAAACACTGGCGGCACATATTGAGGCCGTATTTCCGGATCAGACTGTGCCGGTTTGAGCAGACGCGACAAGAGAGAGAACCCTGGCCGAATTTTCTCGGGTGGCTCCAATAGAGCTGCTGGTGACCCATCTTGCTCCCTTCACTGACTTTTGAGTTAAGAAAAAACAAAATCAGGCCGGGCGCGGTGGCTCACGCCTGTAATCCTAGCACTCTGGGAGGCTGGGGCGGGCGGATTGCTCGAGGTCAGGAGTTCGAAACCAGCCTGAGCAAGAGTGAGACCCTGACTCTACTATAAATAGAAAGAAATTAATTGGCCAACTAATATATATAGAAAAAATTAGCCGGGCATGGTGGCACATGCCTGTAGTCCCAGCTACTCGGGAGGCTGAGGCAGGAGGATCGCTTGAGCCCAGGAGTTTGAGGTTGCTGTGAGCTAGGCTGACAGCACGGCACTCTAGCCAGGGCAACAGAGTGAGACTCTGTCTCAAAAAAAAAAAAAATATATATATATATATATATATTTTTAAAGGGCTATATAGTTGATGAATTAATATTAAGAGTTTGTATTCACCAAAAGGTACCTTAGAGTGATGTAGCTATATATATATATATATATATATATATATATATATTTTTTTTTTTTTTTTTTTTTTTTTTTTTTTTTGAGACAGAGTCTCACTCTGTTGCCCTGGCTAGAGTGAGTGCCGTGGCGTCAGCCTAGCTCACAGCAACCTCCAACTCCTGGGCTCAAGCAATCCTCTTGCCTCAACCTCCCAAGTAGCTGGGACTACAGGCATGCACCACCATGCCTGGCTAATTTATATATATATATTAGTTGGCCAATTAATTTCTTTCTATTTATAATACAGACGGGGTCTCGCTCTTGCTCAGGCTGGTTTCAAACTCCTGACCTCAAACAATCCGCCCGCCTCGGCCTCCCAGAGTGCTAGGATTACAGGCGTGAGCCACTGCGCCCGGCCTAGATTTATATTTTATTTTTTAATTTTTTTTTTTTGCTTTTTATTTTTATTTTTCTTGACCCTTGCACTTGCATAGATTTATATTTTAAAAGGTCATTTAGATATCCACTTACTAAAAATGTTTGGGATAAATAATAAAGACATCTGGAATTTGTTTGAAATAATCCAAGGGGGAAGAAGTAGGTTCAGGTAGAAGAAATAAGATTGGCCATAAACGGACAGTTATTTAAGCCAGCAAGAAGTCTGTGGGAATTGATTGTACCGTTCTCTCCACTTTTGCATATGGTCGAGATTTTCCATTATAAAAAAAAAAAGATTACCCTTAGAAAGCGGTCACAGCGTGGGATAAGACATTTGTGATGCTTAATACCATGATACAGGCAAGGGATTTGAGTCCTGCATATGTAAAGAACTCCTTAAAAACAAACAGTGAACCCCAAAAGAAAAATGAGCAAACTCTCAAGCCAGTATTTTACAAAAGAGGAAATCCAAAGGGCAACAAAGGTACGAAAAAGTGCCCAGCCTGGGAGGGGAAATGCAAACCGAAAGGGCATATCACTCCATACCCACCTTCCCCTCCCCCCCCTAGAAATGCCCGTATTTTCAAAACCTGACAATGTCAGGTAGTACGTGGAGCAACAGAAAATCTCACACGCTGCTGAAGGAGAGGAAGTGGTTAAACCACTTTGGAAAACAGTTTGACATTGTCTTTCCCGGAGACCCAGTGACTCATTCAAGGGAAACAACCCAAATGCCCATCACAGGAGAACAGACATACACACTGCAGCATGACCCGCACAATGGAATACTAACGTAATCGGGAATGAATACCCTACGGCTGTTTGCCACAACAGGGATTTGTCTCTCAAAGACAATGTTGGCTGAGAGAAGAAAGAAGACATGCACAAAAGAGTGCATACAATGTGGTTCTCATTGACATAAAGTTAAAAATAATCCAGATAGACAAGGGTGTTTAGAAAGCATGCATAGGTGGCAAAGTCCAGCTGCCGTTGGTCTTCACAGCAACTCCCACCAAACAGTGGGGTTTATGTCCCCACTCTAAGAATCTGAGCAGGTCTTGGGACCCGATTGGGCTAAAAGAATGAGCAGTGTGGCAGTCTCGAGCCACAGCTCCTTGACCAATCAGACTCAGATGTGAATGGCTAGGAAATCTCTTCTTGTACAGTGATCACGGACTCATCCTGTTAATGAAAACTCCTGCAACGAACAGCTCATCTAACTTCATTAAAGCCAGTGTTTCCCACATTTTACTAAACAAGGAGCCCCTTTATCTTCAAATACCTACTAACATCTCATGGGTCTTTGTGAAATATTGGTAGGATGCGTAATTAATTCCAGTTGGGTTTTGGTCTAGGTTTTTTGGTTTTTGTTTGTTTGGTTGGGTTTTTTTTGTTTGTTTGTTTGCCATTATTAAAAAATAGTGTCATAAAGATTCTTCTAGTAAAATATTTTCCCACTTCCTCGATTATTTCCAGGAACTAAATTCTAGAAGCGTACATGGTAGATCAACAGATGTGCACATTTTCAGGCTTTGGTCTCAGGCTGCCCAATCCTTCTTCAGAAGGGTCATTCGGATTTGCACCCCAACCACGGTGACTGGCCTATAAAATGGGAAGGAAAATAAAATGGTTGGGTTTTTGTGTGTGTTTTGAGACATAGTCTCACTTTGTTGCCCAGGCTAGCGTGAGTGCCGTGGCATCAGCATAGCTCATAGCAACCTCAAACTCTTGGGCTCAAGCAATACTGCTGCCTCAGCATCCCAAGTAGCTGGGACTACAGGCATGCGCCACCATGCCCAGCTAATTTTTTCTATATATATTAGTTGGCCAATTAATTTCTTTCTATGTATAGTAGAGACGGGGTCTCGCTCTTGCTCAGGCTGGTTTCGAACTCCTGACCTCAAGCAATCTGCCCACCTCAGCCTCCCAGAGTGCTAGGATTACAGGTGTGAGCCACCTCGCCCAGCCGTCCCTCTGTTTTAATAAGGGAGTGAATTCTGTGTCCTTGTCAGGCCCTCAGAGGTACAGGGCTTCCAGCCCACTGGGCCCAAGTAAGACAGTGGGCTCCATGATGTCAGATATCTCAGGATGTCATGGGAGAAATCAGAATTGTCATGGGAAATATTCTGATAACCAAACACTGTGGCTCCGACTTCTAGGGAGGTGGAGGCAGCCGGGGCAGCTCCCGCACCAGGACCGTGAACAGACCTTTGCTGGTCCCCTAGTATGTGCAGGCACTGTGTGTGGAGCTGGGGACACGGTGGTGAGTAAGGGAGCTGAGTCCTGGCCCTTGCATGCTCATGTCATTGTGGGGGAGACGGGCAAATGACAAGAAAGACTACCACGCGGGGCATACCATGCAGAGAAGGAAAGGTGGGTGCTTCTGTGTGAACGTGGGGGCCAGGGAATCAGACTCTAGTTGGGGTAGGACAATGGCAGCTCTGAGACAGGGCCATCTGGGCTGAGACCTGAAGGAAAAGAGGGAACTAGCCCTGCAAAAACCTAGAAGAGCTGTATTTCAGGAAGAGGGAATGGCCGTCACTAAGGCCCCGAGGCAGGCACCCAGGGAAGGCTGGCAGGGCTGGGGCAAAAAGAGCAAAGAGGGGCGTGGGGGGATGATGGGAGGATGGAAGGGCTGCAGTGGCCACAGGATGGTGGCCATGGGGACCATCAGCAGGAGTCTGGATTTTACAAGCAAGGAGAAGCCATTGAGAGGTTTTATGCAGCGAAGTAAGGGGATACGATTTACATTTTTGAAAGATTCCTTTATCTGTGGCGTGAGGACTACAAGTAGGGACTAAGATTAGAGGCAGGGAAAGCAATGTGTAAGCCACTGTGGTGGCCCAGGTGGGAGCAGACAGTGCTTGGACCAGGGTGTTCATAGTGAAGGGGCGAGAAGTGGGTGGGTTTGGGAGAGCACTGAGTCACAGAAACCACAAGGGCAGCTTTAAGACAGGAATAGCCTGGAGGGCTTGTTAAAATGCAGACTGCTGGTCCGCTCCCTAGAGATTCTGGTTCAGTAGGTCTAGGGCAACAGAGAATTTGCATTTCTAGCACGTTGTCATGTGATGCCATGCTGCTGGCAGGAATAGCACCTTGGAAACCACTGGTCTAGAATAACACTTTCTAATAGAAACACAAGGAGAGCCACAGCGGCGATTTAGAAGTTTCTAATAGCTACGTTAAAAAGTAAAAAGAAACAAATAACAGTAATTTAATAAAATATCTCACTCACATTTATTTAATAATTAATAAATAGCTAATATTTATTATTAGCATATCTAAAATAGTATTTCAACATGTTATCGATCTTTTATAAATGATTAATGAGATATTTTACATTACTTTTTATCATACTAAGTCTTTGAAATCCCAGTGTGAATTTTATTCTTACAGCACATCTCAATTAGGACTAGTTCAGTCTTCAACAGCCACCCGAGTGGCTAGTGGCTACCATGCTGGACAGCACAGGACAGGCCTGGAATGTCGGCTATTGTTGCAGGATCTGGCAGTTGATGGTGGAGACCTGCCTCTTGAATTTAGCAACAAGGATGAGCTTTAGCAACAAAAAGTTTCATTTATGTGAAGTAGAGGGAGAGGAATGGAGAGGGGGGTATGTAAACACTTCCCAAAATTCCGATGTGGTTTTATTATATAATGAGCAGGCTGACAAAACTCAAAACCAACATTGGATATTAACATCACAAACAAAAGACAACCTGACATCATGTTCCTCCTTACGAAGAATTCAGCATCACCTCTGAAGTATATTTATCTTCAAATGGAACCTGAATCTGACCCAGCCTTTAAGTTTGCAAGACACGCGGGGGACAAAATGACACCAGGAGGTGCAACCAGTCAAATTAGACTGAGAGGTGAATGAGGGAGCGGGAAGTTTGGTCCCTTAAAGAGGGACCAAACAGATGCAGTGCGTGCACCCTGTTTAGATTCTAATTTGAAACAAGCCAAAAGTTACGAGACTTTTGTAAGACAATTAGGAAAATTTGGATATTATTGGATAGCGACTGTTAAGGAATTATTGTTAATTTTTTAGGCGTGATAAAGATGTTATGTATTTTTAAGAACCTGATATTTTAGAAATGCGTATTTATGGATGAAATCATGTGATAGCTGGG